TATAAAACTGCTTCCAGTTTGTGCTCAATAACAAAAAAATGCGCTGAATACTAAAAAGTGTGTTAAACTTTTCCCGTTTACTTTATGCTGACTATCAATTGAACTAGAGACGCATGAATCAGAAACACGGTAACGGTCTATGATTGTGAACTACAAGTCAAAAACTGTTTTTGGTTACATTTCAATACATATAAATAGATCTGTCATGATAGTCTAAAGATTGCAAAGTGTGAGGAGCGTGTAAGCAAAAATGTCTTGTTGGAGAACTATAAGACTTCAAGAAATTCTATCCGGTTTACTAAATAATGACGAATAATTTGGAATTGTTGAAGAGTACACCATTTTCTAAGTCCTCTGTCTTTTGGTGAGACCTAGCTTGAAATGATAGAAAATTTTAATGTCTTAAGGAAGATATAATCAAACTAGTTTTCCTCTTCGCAAATTCTGTGGTTATTGTCAGCTTAATCACATAATATGACGTGATATTTTCGACCATTTTAGCATAATCCGTTTCCAACTTGGTTGATTTGTATATTCGCTTGATTAAGAACAAATGTCATCCTGGTTTCGAAAAGAAAATTCACTCACTGTCAATCAAAAGCAACGGTTACTTAGTTCATTAGAAAATGGTATGATACAGGCATCGCAACAATATAAAGGATACTCGAAAATTGGGGAAGTCCTGCACCTTCAAGGACCTCATATTTCTCTGAAAGCTTTGTCTACAGCAATTGGTCATTTACAGCGTCGTCATCCTGTTTTGCGAAGTCGTCTTCAAATTAACCGTGAAAAAACAAACAGTTATTTTTTAGAAGAAGACGATATGCTTCAACTTCGGATTCGAGAAATACCACGAAAACGTGCCGATCATATGATCTTGTGGCGTCAAGAATGGCGAGAGCGAGAAAAAGAAACAACTGTCATTGGTCAAGGACTTGCTGAATTTTGGCTTCTACAGGTATACGATAGCCTATGTTAATTGTTTTAACTTTGTGCTTTATATTATTGATAAAAATACTAGATATATAATACGATTATTTCTTCTTTTTGAAGGATCCAGATGATGACAACGATGACAACAGTCCACGCGAAATAGTAGTTATATGCGAGCATAGTGTCTGTGATGCCTGTTCCCTCAGCACTGTGTTAGATGAACTTCTCATAGCGTTATCTGATGATAATAACAATATGTTTACGAGTTCATTGAATTGGCCAGAGACTATGGAGGCAGCAATTCAAAGAAGTCTCTCAATATTTGGAAAAGTGACCACACTTACTCGATTTATTCTTGGAGCAATATACTTACGCGCAACTAACAGACGGGCAATTGCAAGAATACCCGTTGCTAACGTCGATTTTCCATTAACTGATATGCCTGATCATTGTCACACTGAAACCTGTTACGCTGTGCTAAATAAAGAAGAAACACAGAAACTAGTAGAAAAGTGCCGTCAAGAAGGTGTAACTGTAACATCTGCTATTAGCACTGCTATTTTATGCAGTGCTTCTATGCTAGTAAATTGTAACGAAGGTCAATCAACCGCATTACATTTTTACAATGTAGCTGATACTCGAAGACGATACGTGCCACCCATTCCTAATCATGACCTTAGTTTTCATGTATCAGGTATGATGCCATTTATCATACCTACGGAAGATATATCAATGTCTTCTGAAGGCATGTGGCAACTTGCAAAAGCTTACGGACATCATATGAAGAGGTGTATCGACGGTGGTCAAATACTTGCTCTTGGTATTATTATCGGAAAGATCTTCAAGAAGCTCTTTGGCCCACCTAGTTTTGACGAACTTCCCACTGTTAGTATCTCTAGCTGGGGTGTTTTACCATTTCATGAACAATATGGACGATGGAAACTTATCGGCATGACTCCTTTTCTTAATATGGTTCGAGGATTGAATCCATACATTACAATTCAAACTGTTAATGGAATCTTGACAATTATGTGTGTTGGAAATGATCCTATTATTCCACTACGTATTGTGGAAAAATTGCTTGATAGCACAATGCAGAAACTATATCAGATGATCGGAGATTGATATACTGACTATCCTTTTTTTTCAAATTTATTCTATGTAAGCTTTTTTAGTATAGGTGAAATATGTATTTTGTGTAATAAATTTATGTTGAGTATTAATGCACTAAATATATATGACAATTTTATTTTTGTTTAAAACATCAAATGTCCATAAAAAAATAGAATTTTTG